CAGCACAAGAAAGCCGCTGTCAAGTTTTACGAAGCTGAGGCTTCCTCCATCGACCCGGAACGCAAGGTTGTCATGATTACCGACAACTCCGAGGTCAAGGGTGCCACTTCCCAGACTGAGATCCCTTACGATATGCTTGTCATTGGCGTCGGCGCCGAGAACGCCACCTTTGGCATTCCTGGTGTTCGCGAGAACTCGTGCTTCCTCAAGGAGATTAACGACGCCCAGTCGATTCGCAAGAAGATCATGGACTGCGTCGAGACTGCCGCTTTCAAGGGTCAGACCAACGAGGAAATCGACCGTCTGCTGCACATGGTCGTCGTTGGCGGCGGCCCGACCGGTGTTGAGTTCGCGGGCGAGCTTCAGGACTTCTTCGAGGATGACATCAAGCGTCTCGTGCCCGATATTGCTGATCGTTTCAAAGTCACTCTGATCGAAGCTCTCCCTAACGTGCTCCCGTCCTTCTCCAAGCAGCTGATCGAGTACACTGAGAACACGTTCAAGGAGGAGAAGATTGATATCCTGACCAAGACCATGGTGAAGAACGTTACCGACACCACCGTCGAGGCTGTCGGCACCAACCCCGACGGCTCCAAGAAGACTATCGTCATTCCCTACGGCCTCCTCGTCTGGGCTACCGGCAACGCTGTGCGCCCCATTATCAAGGAGCTCATCAGCAAGATCCCCGCCCAGAAGGATTCTCGCCGCGGTCTTGCTGTCAACGAGTACCTCGTCGTCCAGGGCACCCGCGACATCTGGGCCATTGGTGACTGCGCTGTCGCCGGCTACGCCCCTACTGCCCAGGTCGCCGGCCAGGAGGGTAGCTTCCTCGCCCGCTTGTTCAACAACATGGCCAAGACGGAGGAGCTCGAGAGCAAGGTGCGCGAGCTCAGCAGCAACCTCAACGTTAAGCCTGGAAACTCGGCCGAGGCGGCGCGCGAGATCGAGGCCTGCGAGCGCCAGCTGCGCCGCATCAAGGACGTCAAGCCCTTCCACTACACCCACCAGGGCAGCCTGGCTTACATTGGCAGCGAGAAGGCTGTCGCCGACGTCAGCTGGTGGAACGGCAATATTGCCAGCGGTGGCAGCTTAACCTTCCTCTTCTGGAGGAGCGCTTACCTCTCCATGTGCTTCAGCAGTAAGTGACCCTTCCTACCAGCACAACCTCCGACGTCCAACTTGCTTACACATTCGCAGCTCGTAATCGCCTCCTCGTCATTATTGACTGGCTCAAGTCCAAGGCGTTTGGCCGTGATGTCTCCCGGGAGTAACGGATGCCCGGAAATCCTCTTCAGCAACAAAAAAGTTGGATGCCGCCTCCCCTTTCCCTTATGGTTTCTTTTTTTCCTCATCGGTGTTGGAGCTAGATAGCCGGAACCGGTCGGCTGGCTGGCGGCATGAACTATAGACGTGGCAGTAGCGCACAAGCTGCCAACCCCAGTGTACAAGGTGTAATGGTACAGTTATGGAACATGGAAGTATGATAGGCGCTGCTCGTCCCTGTGATATTCTGGCTTGGCGAGAGTTGATGTTGAAGACATGATGCTGGACTGCCTTCCATGGTGCGTATGGCCTCCCATGACAGCAAGGTCGAACCCCAAAGATCGACAGCTTCCCTTGAACTGTTCGTAGACATGTGTGTGTCGAGCATGGCTACTGTATTGATTGCTGTCGTAAGCATGGGAGATTTCCATCCCGCCAAGCATGGCGGACAACAGACTTGGATGAGCTAATACGAGGCAGTATTGAAGCTTGCACACGGCCACAGCACATAGTTTCAGTAGGCCTTGAATCGATGCGAGTCATCTGTCGTGAATCCTATGTTCCGAGCGGCCGTGCCACCGCTGGACGGATCTTTTGGGAGTATTCAACGGGCCGTGAATCACGTTGGCGACACAGTGCGGCGCTCAGACCCTGCAGTTTCCCGACTGGCGGGGACAGTGGAGACCGGGGCAGGGAGGAGTCCATGTTAAGCCGCATTCTGCCAGGTCGACCGAGATTATGGCCTGGGCTGCCGAATAGTTCATGGCATGATGTAGGCCCACGATCATGGACATACATGTACAGTACTGCTTTGCCCTGTATATGTAACCCGTGGTGCAGCGAACGAAGGGGGCAGGTGGGGACCAGAACTGGGATGTCCAAAGCACAGACACATCGAATGTTGCGTGGAATATTCCGCTCGAATGTCGAATGCAAGTGTCGGTTATGACAGGCATCGTCTGTTAAGGTCGGGATGAGGCGGTCAACAGATGCTGCCTCTCAGGTCACGTGAAATGTCAAATCGTCGGATCGCCAATATCCTGCGACAGAGACACCCCGTCATTAGTCTTCTACCACCGGCGACACTAATAAACTACGGCTATCCTGCGAACTGTATGGATAGGCCATGACTGGTATACGCAGCATTTATGACCAATGACGGACGTATCTTGAGCATATGCCAGACTAAAACTTCCATCAAGGCTTGCAGCGTCAGGGGCTGGCGGCAGGTGCTGGCGAATGTGAAGAGATCAGGTTGATATGCCGTTTTACAATTTACTTCTAGCGCTGGATATCTAGGCACAACTGCCGTAGGCCATCACTTATGGCACTCAGCCCAGAGTGGTTCAAGTGGAAGCATAAACATTCTCTTAAACGGTTGCCTCAAATATGTGCGTGTGATTCTGGGCTTTACTAGTTGGATTGCATTGAGATCGAATTTTGAACCTATCTACAGCATAAGCTAGATGGACATTGTTGGGCATTGTACATGTTGATCGAAGTGCGAAGTGCACCATGGCTTCAACGGCGAATTCGTCATGAAAGCCTGGATCTGACAGCATGCCACCGAGGCAGGTCCCCGGCGCGATGATCGGCGCAAGACGGAGCGCCTCGTCCTGGCAAGATGCCTGAATGCTCGATACATATGAGTCCGCTGTGGCGCTGTGCGAAAGCGACGGGAAGCCTCGTCAGTCAACGGTGTTGATGAAGACACGGATGCGGTGGGATGCAAATGTACAGATGGACGCACGGCGTGGTGTAAATGTACGAGTGAGACTTGCGTAACACAAGCGCCAGGGAGCTAGTCAGCATGCTGGCGGAATCTGGATTGTCTTACCGAAACTTCTGCCGTGCTGGCGAGGGTTATCAGATGCTAAGAAGGATACGCCGAAAGATAGTTGGGCTCGTCCTTTCTGACACAAATACAGCCGATCTACAAGCCACGAAGCAACAGGCTAGACCATTTCCCTAGTCGAGTAACAGACACTGTCAGGGGCGTAGTAGGATACCAGCAAACCATGTCCAGTGCCTACGAGGCCTAGCATAAAGGGCACTCGGAGCATGGTGGCTGCTTGGTAATTATACGTCTCGACAGCATCTTCGTGTGACAACCGAGGTCGGTGTAATAATGTTATGGACACGGTCACACGACGCAAATGGAGGAATGGCGACACAAATACCAGTGGCACACAGCACACGGCTACGCCCGCCATCCGCCGTCAAACAAAAGCAACGGAGCATTTTGCAGCGTGAGAGGGATGTCTCAGCTGGGTGTGTAGCCGCCGCTTCCTGTCCTCGATGACAGACAAGGTAGGAAAAGCAACATGAGGATCCAGGCCACTGGTGCAGAGCAGTAACAAGAAAGCTGCAAAACACCGAATGACGAAACGGCGGGTTTGTAGTGGCAGCCAAGAGTCGGGCAAAGCCTGGCACAGCGAGACGCGGGGCTAAGTCTGCCTGACACTGCCTGAAGGTTGCTAGTATCGGGCGACGGTGGGAGCATGCCAGCTCGAATCACGAAACCTTGAAGCCACCCGTCTTTCGGTGGTGATAGCGTCGGGATCAATCACAGTCCGGATCCGCTCGATAATGCTCTCAGACGGGTTGGCTCGGTCAGTGGCAATGCTCGCCTCCAATGGATTTGTGCGCATTGTCGACACAAAAGTGTCAGAAGGAGAGTCACCATTAGCAATCTCATCGTGATCGATTCGGTGGAAGAAAGCAGTCTGCTGCTGCTGTCCTCCGCCTGCTTACAAACAAGACTAATGAATGTACCTACCCTGGCATGAATCTATCATGCTCCTTTTGAGTTGATCGCTACCGACGCAAGCTTGCCAAAAACGCCCCCACCTTCCACATCTCCCCGGTGAGGTCGGCTCTCAGGGCATGGACCCCGATGCATGAGTTCTGCCAGTGAGGAAACGCACGGGGAACTGAGACTGACTGTACCCGCGTCAGCTCTGCAAGGCGTCAGGTTTCTGGATTGTCAAAGGTCTTGCTCCACGCCCAAGTCAGCATTCTCGAGAGGCGTTACATTGGGTCAAAGATGTGCCGAATGCACACTTGAGGTACCATGTACCTGCTGTCCATGGAGCTCCCACCCCGGCAAGTCATCCACGATCCGCCATCCACTAGTGCCTGCCCCAGGGATACGGTAGATCACCTACGGTGTGTGTGGCACCATCTACGCACTGTCGACAACCGTGGTGCCTGTGTCTTTCCAGTCAGTCTGCAGCCTGCTGGAGTGCTTGCATCGAGGGGGCTTGGGGGGAAGAGGGCGCCCGGCACTGTCCGCGCTAGCAATGCCAATCTCTCCATGTCGCAACCAAACTCACCCCCTCCCAAATTTCCATGATCCTCCACCGAAAAACCCACTTGGCCGTTACCCTCGCCTTTCCAGACCAAGTTCGGCCCCGCCTCGTCTCCTGCTGGGTCGTCATTCGTTGCGTCTCCAGTCCTTGATGTCTCTAGTGCTTGTGCTTTACGCTCGTCTCGTCTTCCGCCCCCGTCATCTCCATCAGGCATCAGGCCTTCGAATTCTACGATACGACAAGAGTGTGCAGTCCTGACGGAACGATCGCCCCTAGCACACCATTGCACCAAGCATTGCACTGGCCAGACGAATCGTCATGTCTGTTGGCGAGAGCATCGAGCTTTTGAAATCTTCCCGAGGCAGGGGATAGACGCAGGGCACCATCCGGCCATCGTGCGCGGTCCTACCGTCAATTATTGGATAGTCCCCCGCTTCCCCTTTTGGCCAACAAGCGAAGCAGCAGGTCCGTAGGCGGCGTTGATCGCATGGGAGCTCTAGCGGGAACAAGGGAACAAAGGAACCGAAGCTACCTACCTACTGCAGGCATCGCGGAGGACCAAAATTACACCTGTGCGCCCAAGCTGTCGCGGATGTTTTTTTCTTATAAGGCCAAGGGGTGAAAATAATACCCAGCAAGCTCCGTCAGATCCTGCTTCGACAGAGCTGTCGTCTCTGCTTTTCAAGCTGGCTCGCATGGCTCTACTAGGTACCTATTTAGCAAAGCAGACAGCTCTGGGTACCCATCCGAGGCCCGAAAGTCTTCGCATACCCATCTCCCAAGCCCCGGCAATGAACAGTGTGTCCTGACAACCTGTACGCACTTGGGGACCTTTTCTTATTTTTCCTACCCGAGCAAGGCATGCAGCAGGTGCAGTAAGTAGGCTTGCCTCAATTTGGGTGTCCTCCCAGCACAACAACCCAGCAGCGAGCACCAGCCAGTCTCAACGCCGTCCCCCCCCCCCGAGCCGTCCCCACTCTCCACAATTGACAAGCCAGCCAGGCCACCGGACCACCCAGGGCCACCCCCAGCTAATCATTTTCCCTCTTGCCCAGAAGCTGATCTTACTGGCTCGCGCGCGAACCCCCCTCCCCTGAGCTTGCATTCCCCCTTCCCATCTCATCCCCCATCAGCCAACACTGGACCGTGGACTGGGCCACCCACCGCCGCAACCACCACCTCTCTTTTCTTTCCTGTCCTCTCCACTGAGACTTCGCCAATTCAATTCCATCGACGACCTCCTCCGCCGCCGCCCACCCCCCCCGTTGCTCAAG